GTGAAGCGTATACATGTGCGAGAGATTACCCCTATGCACCATAAAGTCATGGTTGCATCATGGTCAGAAAGACTATGATTTTTTTGTCACTAGGAGAGAACTTGAAATCCATAAACTGGGATTGCGTCTTCTAGTCTATTGGCTGACTTTGGTGGTCCAATCATGAGCCTCTGCAGTGGACTGTGGGTCATGAGAACTGCTTGGTCAGTTTGAGAAAGCTAGGTGAATCGTGGTCCACAGTTAAAGATGGAGTGCTCCCGTATATTGATAAACTCCTAGATCTAACAGATCCGATTCCCATAAAAAATTAAGTTGGCTTTTGGGGATAGCCAACTTACATAAGGTTGAATATTTGAAATATTTAATACATCTTTGAATCAAGATTGCTTGATCCAATAAACAAAGATTGAATATACTAGAATAGAAAATAAGATATATACTTTATTTATTTAAATATTTGATGGGAATAGATCTAAGAAATGGAGGATAATATTCTAACTCATCCTTTTGAATCTTGATGGTGGATCAAACAGATGGATCGCTCAAATCTCTCACCCCACAAGTCTCTTTAGATAGACGGTCAAGATTTAACCCTATGAATTGAGGCAAACCCTTGATGGTGGGATCAAACAAATGGATGGCTCAAATCTCTCACCGCACAAGTCTCCTTAGATCGACGATCAAGATTTAACCTTAAGAATAGAGGCAAACCCCAAAGGCATAGAAAATCTATAAAATGAGGTCTCTCCTTTCATAAAATGATGTACATATTATCTCCCTCTCTTTAAGAATTCTCTCTCTATACCAAACTTTAGTTCTCTCTCTAGATTACCAAAGGGAGACACGCCCCAATTTTGAGGCACGCCCCAAGTTTTATCTTCTACCTCTCTCAAGTTTTTTCTAAGAGGGTATGCCCAAATCATCTCTCTCTGATTGTTTCTAGATGGCACGCCCAAGCTAAGGTTAGCTTATGGTGGTTTGATTTTTTGGTAGCAGATGAGAGAATCCCCTTGCTAGTAAATCTCTCCATCTCTCTTTGATCTATCTCTAATCTCTCAAAAGATCAAGCTAATGGGGTTTGAGAAAGACTAAGGCATTGAAGCCTTAGGTAGTTTGAGCAAGACTAAAGCAATTGAGACTTTAGGTAGTTGGTTCTAGATCAGAGCCATATGTCATTGAGAGGGTTTGCAATATGTAGGAGAATCAAGAGACCGATCATAGATCCCAAGCACCTTCGGAAGGAGGAGACTCGGTGTCGGGTGTACTAAACCCGATTGAAGTAATCTTTGACACTCTTTTTGTTTCTTACCATATTTAATTATATTATGTTTATATTCTCAAGTACAAGAATTATTGATATTTTTTTTATTTAAAGAAAATTGATTTAATGGCATCAAGGTTTTTAAGATCCTAGATTTGTTAGTTTTATTTTCTTTGAAGCAAGAGTTATTGTAATAAAACTACTTGTAAGTGATCTTTGCTAAAAGAAGAAAAAATGGGTAAAAAAAAAATATATATATATATTCACCGACAAGATCACATTAGTCTTTCTTTCAACTCTTTGTTTCCTTTCTTACTCTCTCGCTATCTCCTTAACCTCTCTTTCCATATTCTCTCCATTAGCATGGCCGAAGAGGGGTGGCGTTTTAATGAGAGTAAAAATATGTGAATGGTAATGAATATCTCAATAGTAAATACCCACATGTATTTAGAGAGAGAAATTGAATCAAAACAAGAGAGAGAATGTAGATTTCTTTCCTTTGACTACACTTTGTTTTAAGGGAGAGAAACCAATTTCAAACAAGAGAGTAGGTGAGTTTCTTTTTTTGGATTAAACTATGTTTTTAATTTTTAAGAGAGACAAAAATAAATCAAAACAAGAAAGATTCCTTAAATTCTTTTATTTAAAGAGGGATAAAATTGGATTCAAACAAAACAATCTAAAGAGAACCAAAACAATTTACGGGGTGTGCCGCCTCTTGCACATAGCTTGGGCTTGCCCCTTCCATCTCTAATATGGTAAGGGAGAGATGAGAGACAAATCTTAGATGAGAGAGAGAGCCTAGGGGTGGTGTGCACCCTTGTAAAGACTGAGAGTAGAGAGAGATGAGAGGTGTAAAGATTTGAAAGAGAGGCAACCCCTATTTATAGATTTTTTTTGAGCTGAAATTTTTTTAAGATTAACAATCATTATGCAGATTAAATCTAAACCATTGATCATAAGCGACTTATAGGGTGAGAGATATAAATCATCCATTCTTTAGATCATCCATCATGATTCAAATGAATGTGCTAGAACCTTATCTTCCAACTTTTTAAATTTAATCTCATCAAATATTATAATATAAAAATTAATATTATAATTTTTTATCTTATGAATAATTTATCCTTAACATACCATCTTTAAATAGTCAAAGTTATTAAATCACAAAACATTCCATAAAACACAACTTGATTTACAACCCTCATAGGCTTGACCAAAATTTAGCTAGTTAATTCTTCCTTGAATGGGGCGTACCACCTTAGGTGGCCACAAGTGAGCCCCACAGAATTGTACCATATGTTCAATTAATGGTAGGCCCATGTTCAATTAACGGTAGGCCCAAAGCTCACGGTGGCCCCTATAAGTTTAGTGATTTATAAAAGTGATCAATTGATTTTTAGTTAATTAAAAATAAATTTTAATTTCTCTTGAATATTTAAATATTGAAAAATATCTCTAAATTTATAAATCTAATTTGTAAACAAAAAAAATTCTAAAAATTCACAAAAATTTAAATAATCAATTTAAAAATCATATATCATCAAAATAATTAAAACCAAATAATTTTGATGAGAATAAGATCCGTATAGATCTAAAAATTATAATATCGCCGAAACACTTCATCTTCTACTATAGACTATAATTCACATTTGCTTTCTCAAACTGATCAGCAGTTCCCATGACCCATAAATAACTGTAAGTGCTCATGATTGGCCTACCAAATTCATCTGATAAGCAATGGAATACAATTCCAATCTATAAACTACAGGTTCTCCCTTAAAGACGAACCCAAAGTTATCTAGACCAGATACAACTACAACTCTATGGTGCATATGAATAATATCTCCCACATGTACACGCTTCACCCTCAATGATAATTCGCTTTCTCAATACAGTTATTATATATACATATCGTGTGTAATGGTTCAATGATGAAGCTTTGACCCTCGTCTCTAAAAGCCAACCATCACACACAAATGCCACATAATCCCTCAGCTCACACACCTGAATAACTCCGACTTTATCAAGAGATGATCCATAAAACCCTCATCAGTTTAATTTCATGCCCAGGTCATACGGGTTTTTCAACTCGACTGGTCTAGTATATCAATCCAAATTTGAGTATTCGCAAATATCATTTGTCTATCATAATGTACAAAAGATCACACTCTCACTGAATTTATGTTCAACCATATTAAGATATAAGTTACAAGCTCTCATAAAACCTTTAATGGCTACGAAAACCCAACAAAAGAAAAAAAAAGGGATTTGTTAAGGGCATTTTTGCTTCACGGAAAACAACTATCTAGAAAGTTCTTTTCTGCTTGGCTGCTAGCTTTCCCACATATTTCATGGAAAAGTGTTCAAGATGTTCTGGTCGAGAAAGTTCATTCCCAGCCTTTTCCCACATGCTATGTAATTCCTCTTACTTGTGTGCTTTTTTCTTCGTCGTGGAGAGAAAATATCCCTTGGAAAACAATTCCTAGTCCTGGATGCCATCTCTCTTCTTTTGTCGACAGAAAAGAAGATATCCCTTGGGTTTTCAAATTGTTGGAGAGAGAGAGCACACATGGATCGTTACGCTTTTCACATATTAAGGGAAAGAGAGAGAGTGCGTCGTTACTCTTCACATAGTAAAAGGGATCCAAGGCTCCAAAACTCCAGTGAAATATGTCCCATATATGACATGTAATTTACCTTGACCCTTCTTTCTGAATTTGCTACTTTGGATATTACAAGTTACGAAGTGGTAACTCCGATGACTTCAGATCTTGAAGACTTAAAACAAACTTTTCCTTTAAAAAGTTTATATAAAACGTCATCTTTATTTTATAGAGAAATAAACCATTCCTTAAAAACCCATAAAAAAAGTTATTCCAACATTAGAAAGCCCTCAACCTCAATATATATATAGGTGTAAAAAAATAAAGATTTTAAGTCTTAAAAATAGTACTTCTTATAATGCATTATGTACACCATTCATTTTCTAGATTTTCAAATACTTACACAGCTTTTTTTAACCTTTATATTTTTTAATTAATAGTAAAATTATCAAACCATCGTAAGGGTTTCTGGCACCGAAAATGCATCTTCTGACACAATTTGAATGTCCACCTTACTTTGACATTGACTTTTAAAGTTGATGCCTCGCACAAACCACAACCTTTTTTAAAAAATGACTTCCGAGCTTTAAAAAAATAAGTACCAATATATGTAAAGCTTCAACCCGCACAAATAGTGAAATATTTAAACGTGCAGCGTTTGTAGCAAAATGTCGAGTGTCCGATTCTTTTGAAGTGTTGGCCTCCAAGACTCATAAAGTTTTAGCTTCGGATCTTCAAGGTCTGGAGTTAAGAGAATACTTTGAATCTTAAAAGTCGTAACTGAAAAAAAAAAAACTTCGGCTTCTCAAGATTCAAAGTTAACATATAAGTTTCAATTTAGCTCTTGGAGGTTCAAAATTAGTGTATTCTGAAAAAAAATTTAGAAAATAAAAAACCTACAACATCTAGAGGAATTTTTTTTTTTTAAAAAAAAAAAACTTGGGGCAACATGAACTTAAATTTCCCAATTTTCTGTTTCCCCAGCCGCATTTAGAAATGACTAAAAGGGACATTTACCAGAATGCACATAAAAGATCAACTATCTAACATTTTACCCATAAATTTAATTTCAAAATACCCATCAAAATACTCAGGACAATGAGTTGGTTGAAAAAGGGTAAATTGTTAAATTGTTGAACAGTCAAAATGTATTTTGATAAATTTACTGGACCAAAATTGTAAGTGTCACGTTTCTTAGGGTGATCAATTTTAAATCCCCATGAGCATAGGCATTTGCCTCTTCACATGATAAAAATGGAAAATGCAGCGTAGAGAGCAGAATCATCCATTATGCTCCCCAATGCTCAATCTGCTCACAAATAGAAAAATATACATAAAGAATCATGAATAAAAACCTATTCACATGGGAACAATCACAAACTGAGTTCCCTATAACAAACAAAAAAGGCACAAAAAATAAAAGAATAAGAAACAGTGACTAGCTAGGTAAAAGACGTCAAGGATTACCTTCTTTACGATGTTCAGTTAGAACCCAAAATTTGTTTGATGAGCGAGTACCAGTGCATTACTGTAATGCTCCGTGAAATTCTTGCATACTCATAAGAGCAGGAATATCCAGAGAAAGGATCTCTCTCTTTGATACGGATCACGATTTTATGCAGTCTCAAAAGAAATGTCTCAGTGTTTGATGCGCTTGGTGCCCCTTCTTTTCGATCTTCTGTTAAATAGTAAAAGAAAACAAGACTATGACAAGAAGGAAGAGAGGGCCAAGAATATAATGATCGAGTAGAAGGCGACCTAATTGAAATTCACTATAACATACAGAAACGAGAGAATAAGCAAAATCAGTATAATACTTTCAGTAAAATAATAACAAAACCACACAAACTACTAAGATATCATTTGGTGTT